TATATATATATATATATATATATATATATATATATATATATATATGATTTTTCCATGTCATGGAAACAGAGAATGAAATGTCTCCATCAATTGTGTTAAATAAATTCTTTCTGACACGTATCCAGATGCAGTTTCAACAGTCTCTGTGTTGTAATTGTTCTTTCAGACCATACTGTCCATTAAATCACAGTAAAGTAATATATCTCAGGCATGTGCACTCTATTTGAAAAAAAAAAACTTAGAGCTATCAGGAGTACCTTTTCTGCTTGCATGTGTATGACAGATTTCCAATTCTTTAACAGCCATCTTCAACAGGTAATCTATCAATTTTCTCCTGATACATTGATAAATGACTAAGCCAAGGAGAGGTCAGCTTTGTACCATAGCTTTGGAGACCTAAAGTCTTACTGAAGTCTATGTAATACTTAAAAACATGCATGTGTGTAACAGCCAATGTCTTTTGCATCTGGGTGTATTCTAAACCAAATCTTTATGACAGTTTACTCAGGTATAAACAGGTCTCATTCTCTTCTCAATTGTTTCTTCTGAAGAGCATATTTGAGTACATGGATGTGGATATCAGATCCTACTTAGATTAGCAGTATATAATCTATGGTTATTCTGCAGGAGCTGTCAAATTGGACCTTCATGATTCTATGCTATTCGTTCACTAATACAACTAGGTATAGTTAGACCAAGTGGTAGGTAGACTAGCTATGGACAAAATGTATCCACTCTAATTCAATCATCTACTCATACAGTCATGTGCAGCTGACTTTTGGCCATGTGTTCATGTGTAATGAATGTTTTCTGAAAGGGCCTGTGTTGGGTAAATAGTCTCATGTCCTCAGATTTATTTCAGGACAACCACAGTTTCCCAACAGTTCTCCCTTGTCAAGCAAATCTCTACAAATATTGTGTGAAACAAATGCCCTGTTAAACAATATTTTCTGCAGCATTTCATGTTCTAGACAGAATTGTATATGTAGTACAAACTTTGTGGGTGGAACTATTGTTTACACTTAGGATAATTTCAACCACTTTTAACTTCAATTCTCTGTACTTATCCATCTAACTGTCATCTATAGTCGAGAAGTGTTTTGTTTTAAAGTCTTACAACTAATTGAAATATTCTACATTAATATGTTATCTGCAGCTATTTTTTTAACATTGGTCTACAGGTCTCCTACAATGCCTTTGCTTGCAGTGGACATTGAACCCTTCTGTGGATTGGCTCTGGGTAAGTTCCCACTCCTTGGAAATTCTCCCTGTGTAGTAGAGAATACAGTGAGAATCCCTGGCTCATCTACAATCCTTAGATTGGATTGTTCTCCCTTTTTCACGTAAAATTCCATGAAGTTCTGAGATGGAGCATACTGTTGTCCTCAGAATCACCCTCAGAAGTTCTGTCTTGCTCACAGCACAGACATTGGCACATTTTCTTTCATTGGCCTTTAAAATTATTGTTGAACGTATGTTTGGTTATGTGACATGAAAATTTAGATATTGTTGGGTGTAGATATTCTTGTATGCTTGGTTGCAGTGCATAACCCATATTGTATTTACTTTCTTAGATTTTGGTTCCTTCTTTGTCTCTTTGTGGTGTAAAAGCCATGGGGATTCATCTTGGGTGACTTTGCCATATAAGATGATGTGAGGTAACTTGCCTCAACTGTCTGATGTTGGAAGGTCAGTTGAATCCTGCCTTTTTGAAAAATTTGAAGTTCAGATACCCGGAAGTTAAGGAAACTTGCCTGCTTACATTTGTATTTGAATAAACTTTAATATCTGTACTGTGATGTTTGTAACTACAGGAAACAAGGTATTTACTTGATATAAAGTTCTCAGTTAAGAGAATTCTGAGTGAAATCTTTTTTTAATAAAAGAGTGCTGTCTGTATCCTTGTAAAGATTTATGAGGAATTTTGGTATATTAGCATGTCTATACTACTGACTGATAAAGAATGATGCCTAAACCAACAATCCCCTTAGGGATTCATTTGACTAATCATCATACCAGACCTGAAGAGAAGAGTTCAATAGTCCTAGGGACAAATACTGTGTGAGTCCAGGGAAGTGGATTCCGAATGCCATTGTCATGGTATCTGGCCCAAAATGTGCTGTGGTCTGATAAGACAATATTCATACCTTAGCATTCATAATTGGGATCAACAATGGCAATTCAAAGACAATGGTACTTCTCAATCTCGCATTCACATTTAAAAGCACTCCCACTTTTGCAAGTAAGCCTCCTATCCTCACATGGATCTTTGGAAAAAAATCTTAATTAATCAGCATATATTACAGAAGCAAAACCTTCCCAGAATTGATTCATGTTCACAAGATAGTATTAACTTCATGCAAAATATCATTGGAAATTTCAATGTGTCTCTAGAATCTTTAACTCTATCTGAATGTCAACTCATGTACATACAGGTGCTTCATTAATGTTGTTTTTTAAAGGATATATTGAACAGTAAAATTGTTAGTCTTTTCATGTCTAGTTTTAATCATGTGAAATATTTTCATTCTTCTGTTTTGTAATTTGTGTCTTTCTGTTTGTTTTTCAGAGATTTTTTTTTCTATTGAGACAAATTATTCTGGAACTCATAACATAACCACACTTCTTTCAAAATTATCATGTTATTTATTCTTAAATATCCAAAAATATAGAGTTCCTGGCACAACCCACACCTGCCTTATATGAAACTATATTTGAGATAATTTTTGAATGTACAGTTTTAGTTTTTTGCATAGTCTGTTTTTCCTCTTTCCCTGTCTCTTCTCCTCTTCACTCACTTTTCCTTCTTCTTCTTCTCCCCTTTTAGAATAACCATTTCTATTAATAATATAACATGCTTCTTACTCACACTTTTCATAAATTTTAAGATACAAAATATACTCAGGAAAATCTTACCAAAAGTAATCTCAAATTCAATGCAATCCCCATCAAAATGCCGACACAATTCTTCACAGACTTTGAAGAACATAATCAATTTCATATGGAAAAACAAAATCCCCAGGATAGCTCTAACAATTCTGTACAATAAAATAAATTCGGGAAGTATCAGCATTCCTGACTTCAAGCTCTACTATAGAGCTACAGTAATAAAAACAGCTTGGTATTGGCATAAAAACAGACACATGGATTGATGGATTTGAATCAAAGACCCTGACATGAATCCACACACCTATGAACACCTAAATTTTAACAAAGAGGCCAAAATTATACAATGGAAAAAGGAAAGCATCTTTAACAAATGGTGCTCTCATAGTTGGATATCAACCTGTAGAAGATTTCAAATAGATACATTTCTATCACTATGCACAAACCTCAAGGTCAAGCGAATCAAAGACCTCAACATAAATCCAGTTATACTGAACTGATAGAAGAGATAGCCTTGAACACATTGGCACAGGAGACTACTTCCTGAATATAACACCAGTAGTGTAGACACTGAGATGAAAATTAATAAATCAGACCCCCTGAAACTGAAAAGCTTCTGCAAGGCTAACGACATAGTCAATAAGACAAAGCAGCAACCTTCAGAATGAGAAAGGATCTTCATCACCCTCACTATCTGATAGAAGGCTGATCTCTAAAATATATAAAGAACTCAAGGAGCTAGACATCAAAATACCAAAAAATCATTTTAAAATGGGCTATAGGTATAAACAGAATTTTCAATAGAAGAATGTTAAGTGGCTGATACATTTAAGGAATTGCTCATCATCCTTTGTTGTCAGGGAAATGTAAATCAAAACTGCTCTAAGATACTATCCTAAAAATTTTATAATGGCTGAGATAAAAAACACTGATTATAGCTTATGGTGGAGATGATATGGAGTAAGAGGAACACTCCTCCACTGCTGGTGGGAGTGCAAACTTGTACAGGCACTTTGGAAATCAGTTTAGTAGTTTCTCAAAAAAAAAAATTGGTAATGAATCTACCTCAAGATCCATTGGTACTACTCTTGGGAATATAACCAAAGGATACACAATAACTCCACAAGGACACTTGCTCAACATGTTTATACCAGCATTATTCGTACTAGTCAGAACCTGGAAGCAACCTAGATGCCCCTCATCTGGAAAATGGATAAAGAAACTGTGGTACCTTTACACAATGGAGTATTACTCAGTGGTTTAAAAAAAGATATTATGAAGTGTGCACGCAAATGGATGGGACTAGAAAAAAATCACCATGAATGAGGTAACTCAGACTCAGAAAGACAAACATAGTATGTACTCACTCATAAGTGGATATTAGATATAAAACAAAAGATAAAAAGGCTACAATCCACAGTCACAGAGAATCTGGGTAACAAGGAGAATGCTAAGAAGAACAGGGATTGCC